AATATTATAAAAAAGAATATATGCTCTAGTTGTCATTTTTTGACCACAACAGGAACAGCAATAGAATGAAGCCAACACAGACAATCGCAGAAAAGGGAGAAAGAACGACTTGGGCGTGATCGACAGTCTCGGCCCTCTGATCACACCAAGCCCACAGCCCATCCCATTCCTTTTTTTACTCATTAATTTTTAAACCAATTTGATGTGGATGATCTATGCCCCTTGCACCCAAAAGAATATTAGCTTATACTAAGATAAAAAAGTTAGTTTAATGCAGGTGTGTCTAACCCCTGCTGTGTTTTAACTGCTGTCCTATTGACTACACTGGCCAATAGTTCTCCATACCCCACCTCCATCCCCGTTTCTTCTGTCTCACATTGATCACAGTACCTTACGGGAAGTTTCTCAGTACCTGTTATCATTCTGCTTGGTGTTTGCTACTCCTCTAGCTGTGATTCTCACTATTCATCTACATCCATACTCCGGCCCCTCAGGGCTTCTTTGAACTTTACTGCTCCTTAAGTTTGATTTAGCCGTCCCCAGTGTGGCTGCAGCTACTCACAACTCAACAGCGCACCTCTCATAAACCTTCCCAGTAGCCATCAAGTATTTTAGTCATTTTAAAAGTTAAATTAAAAAGATGAAAGAAAGGTTAGCTAACTCAGTTGCCATTCCTGGATCATTTTAGCTATACTAAGACTATTATTTTATGTTTAAGGGTCTAAAGTAAGATTGGGCCAAATGGGAGTCCAGACAGTGCCTACTTACATGTTTTAAAAATTGTATATTGGATTTTAAAAAGATATGTATGACAGTGATAATAGTGATTGCTTAATTTTTATTTGTTTTGTCCTACTGTTTTGTCCTACAGGCAGGAAATTTATATCTGAAGTTTTAGATTTAGAAATATTTTTAATATTTAGTTTTTAAAATATCTTTAATATTTTAATTTTTAAAAGTTATCTTCTTCACATCTTGTCCTATTCAAATCTTTGTTCATTCTAAAAGTATGCTTTATCTTTTGATATGATCAATAGACTACCACAATTTTTTTCTTATTATAAATTCTTAATTTATCCTTTCATTGTGGAATATTTCCTTATGCCTTTATTATAATTAATAATTAAATTAAAAAGACCCCCTTTGAGTCTCACATTAAAAATACACTACAGTTAAAAACATAATAAAATAAACATTAAAATGGAATAAAATATTTAAAAGCTCAGCAAATTGGCATCAATAAACTATGGTGAAGAAACTTATCTCATCTAGACTGCTGAGAAAGACTGCAATCCTGTAATCGCATTTGGGGAGTCCTTATTTCAAAGGAAGCTGCTTCTGCTTAACTGGCTCCTGCTTTTGGAAGCTTCTATTTTCTTGACTATTATTGGTCACTCTGTCATTTTGAAGGATGAATGAAAAAGTTTCTAGACTTTAAAATATCTGAATGGAGAACTGGCTCCTCAAACAAAATCACATTAGTAAATGTACTTAACAATCTTTTAATAGCTGCATTGGATGACTCTATGTCTGGCTTTATTTGACTAGATCCAATTTAACTGATGCCTTCAGCATAATTAATCAGATAATGCACTTTAGTGAATGCCATCATTTCTTGTCTTGATTATAGTGCTAAAGGGACCAGTTTTGGTGTCTTGTGTCTTGCTTATCATCCACATGACCATCTGATTTTAATTTTAGATCAAAAATGCTAGAAAAAAATGCTCAATGAATTGGTATCTGTCAGGTTTCAGTTGAAAAATAAGATAATGGCTGATATTTTCTCCTCTTCACCAAAAAGAAAAAAATAAATTGTTAAATGCGAAGAAAAAATAAACATCCCCAGAGGATAAAAAAATTAAAAAATAGCATATTTCAGTTGTCCCTAAAATTATTGATAAAGTATTTTTACAATGCAAAATTAAAATTAAAGACACCTTATAATTCTAAAGATATCTGTTGATAATGTTGGCTAATGACATTTATTTTTATAATTTGAGACTAAAAGAAAAAAGAAAAAAAATTAACCAACAAGATCATTTCTTACTCTTTCCCAAATAAAACCTTAACCTCTTCCTTTGTTCTCTGGACATATCAGAGGTGGTCCTGATATGTGTATATGTCCCAGATTGCAATTCCATTCCTTGTATGTTCCCAAGTAAACTCTTTTAGATAAGTTTCATTTTATTTCAAGGTGACACTGATCTCACGTTTTTTATCCTCCACTCTTCATTTTTGATTCAACCTTGAGTGTCAGATCATCAGTATTTTTTCTGACTCCTCTGATAATCTGGAAACACCAAATTTGTATCTACCAAGTGTAGATTTCAATGATATACATATTACTTATTAATACTGTAAATAATTACTCGATGGTTATTAATGTATCTCTTATCAATACTACTATTAGCATTACTATTCTGCTTCTTGGGTTATATCGAGGACACTGAGGTAAGACTTAACTGAGGGGAAGAGGAGCTGGGCACTAATGGGGTGATCTGGCAGGGAAGCCTGTGTTTGGAAAATATCTCTTGAAATGAAGTTCTAAAAAGGGTGAAAAAATAAGTAGAAAAATTGAGACTTTTTCACAGAAGTCCCAATATACACGATATACATCATGTAGTTAAAATTAGGTTTATGAAATCTTGAGGAATCATAGAATTATAAAGACTACTGTAATAATGACAAATGGTGGCACACCTGGATCTAAGGGACAACTCAAGGCTGCTCACTCCTTCAGGTTCTACAAACAGCACATCTAGACGATAAGGCCACTTTTACCTCCTTAATCAAGGATAGAACTCTTAAAATTAGTGTTTACAGTAATCACCTGAATCTTGTCATGTACATTTTCAGCATTTGATAATTATTTATATAACTCATGTCAAAAAATATTCATTTTTCTAAATTTTCAGCCCACTTTAAAATAAGTATTTTTTTTTACTTTTTCTCTTTTTTTAGAAAATTATTTAATTTAATCTGTGAAATTTTACCCAACTAACTTTAAAGTTAAATGCATATGTAATTTAAAGTCAGAATTAAATGTGGGCTATTTATAAAGTGTCCATGAAGTAGTTTCTTGTTTTTCACATCTTAATCATTGTTATAAAATAATGTACATAATAAAAATAATCATATTCTACTTTATATCCGTTTTTCCTATGTATATTAACTGATTTAATTTTCAAAGCTACTTTCTGAGTAGACTTAGACTAAGTGAGATTCTTAGTAATATTTAAATCTATGTTACATCAACTTTATGTGAAGGTAATTACTTATGATCAGGCTACAAATCTAACCCACTCCTCCCAGAACAAAATATTTTTTTCAAGATTTATACAAAAAAGGTGGAATTCATGAAAGAAAGAAAAAAGATGAATATAAAATTCAGGAAAATAATTAATCCACCAGGAGTGAAGGAGCAGAAGGCTATGGAAGTGTTTTCGAAACATGGTAGTGTCTTTTTCCAATATTCATCTATCCTTTTTTTCTTTCTTATTTTTAATTTGTTTGTCACCTACAAGAGCCTTGAACTGAATGTTTTTAACTATTTCACAGTATTTTAATTATTTTTAAATTATTAATTATTTTATTTTGGCTCAGCGCCTGTGGCTCAAGTAGCTAAGGCGCCAGCCACATACACCTAAGGTGGTGGGTTCGAATTCCGCCTGGGACCGCCAAACAACAATGATGGCTGCAACCAAAAATAGCCGGGCATTGTGGCAGGTGCCTGTGGTCTCAGCTACTTGGAAGACTGAGGCAGGAGACTCGCTTGAGCCCAGGAGACTCACTTGAGCCCAGTAGTTGGAGGTTGCTATGAGCTTTGATACCATAGCACTCTACCCAGGGGGATAGCTTGAGGCTCTGTCTCAAAAAAAAAAAGAAAAATTATTTTATTTTATTTTATTTTTTCTTTTGTGGCCGGGGCTGGGTTTGAACCTGCCACTTCCGGCATATGGGGCTGGCACCCTGCCCTTCTGAGCCACAGGCGCCACCCATTAATTATTTTATTTTATTGCTGATTAGATTTGTGGCTGAGATTTGCTTTTTCTTTTCTTTTTTCCTTATATGTCACTGTTGCTCTCTCCTCATTTTTTCTTTACTTTTTCTTTCTTGATTATGGAAGGAATAAATTCCCAGAAAAATATTTAATTTTAATTTGTATATATAATTTATCAACATCTATATAGTAAGTTAATACATAGATCATCTCTAACCAATGACAAGGCTACAGTTGGTACATGTTTTGACCTCCCTGTCATTGCCGTATATTTTACTGACTTATCTCTGTGAATATGAATGAATACTCTCCTGCCTTTACTTGCTCTTCAACCTTGTTTCATCATACATGTGCGAGAATGTACCTCCAGCCAAACCTACCCCTACTTTTTTTGAAACGTTATATATTTTTTCTATTGTATCTTGATATATAATCCTGTTATTTCTATTCAATGAGAAATTAACCCTTTTCACCCTCTCCTTTCCCAGAATCACTTCCCAAAAGTTTTCCCTATATCATTTCCAGTTGCTTTATTTTTACACTCTCATGAATCCATTCCAATAAACTTTTTTTCCTTAAAACTTTTAAAAATCTGTCTTACCAAGATCACCAGTGGCATTCATAATATATATAAAAGTTAATTCTTAAGCCTCATCTTACATCATCAGGTTTGATTTGCTCTTTTGTATTTGACTTTGCTAGCCTGGGTTGTCTTACTAATAAGGCAGCCATAGATTTATTGTTCAAACTGAGATGACTTTGAAAATGAAAAAAGACTATAGTCAATATTACACTAGTCAACAGATGTGAACTGGGATTTTCCTAGACAAACCTAAACTTTAAGGTGACTCTATTTGAAAAGTCTTACCCAATCTCTTTCCCTGGTGCCCCTTTCATTTATTTATTTATTTATTTATTTTTAATTGAAAGAAGAAATTCAGCTTTTATTTGACAGGCATCAAATACACATGATAGAGAAACTGTCATCATAAAAGTCCATCTAATAAAGTTTTAGGTTACCAGTGACTTTGTCAATTAAGTCTGCTGGTCCTGGCCCAATTCCTAAGACCGTTGAAGAGCCTGGTGCAATCTGAGTACGTCCAGCATCTTGGATTAAATTTACAGTCAGTCCCAGCATTTTCGCATGGGTCAATAACCCAACCAGGGTTTCTTCATCAGGAGCTTTGACCACCACTTTGGGCTGGCCACAATATTCCCAATGTTTGAGCACTTCTGGGTTTTTCCTTTGAATTTGCTTGTAGGCAGAAATGGCAGCATGAGAGCACTGGGCAGCCACTTTTCCTTTTCTCATCTTTAAATCAGTCCGAACAAGAATCATTTTGTACTCCCCATTTTCTCCTAAGATGTTTGCTTCAGTGCCTGTCTCGCTCATAGGTTTTTGTGTTGTTTTTTCTTTTTGCAGTTTTTGGCCAGGACTGGGTTTGAACTCGCCACCTCCTGCATATGGGGCCGGCGCCCTACACCTTTGAGCCACAGGCACTGCCCTCTGCGCCTGTCTCGTCAAGCCTTTGGAAAGCATCCCAATACGTACTCGGAAGGCCCAGCGCAGGCACATACCACAAGCAACTCCAGCAGCCAAGGTGAAAGCACCAGGATGAGCCACATATTCCATGACCAAAGATTTGGAGGGTACTTAAAATGACTGGGCTTCCTACTCGCACCTTTTCGTTCACTCCCAGGCAGCTAACACGCGTCTGTGGCGCCAACTATCACTTCCGGGGTGCCTGGACTACAAGTTCCGGATCAAGAACCCGGAAGCAACCGGTCATTTTACCTCCTGGCCACGCCCACAGGGACCTCGTCAACCTGGAACTGAAACCCCACGAGGACCAGCCCAGCTGGCGCCTCTTTCAACATCCTCTCTCTCCCTTCGCTCTGTTATTCACTCTGTGCCAGCTATGCTGGCCTGTTAAGATTTTCTTCAAAATACCAGGGCACACTGGCTTTTCTCTTTGACTGAAACGCATGTTTCTAAGAGATCCTTATGCGTCACTTCTGTATCCGCCACATATAATTTCTTAAGTGCCATTTTTCTGCTAGCTCTTGCTGACAATTATTTAACATGCCATCTTGACAACTTTCTGTGGCTGTTGGCACTTTATCCCTCCATAAAATGTATCACCATTCAATAAATTGTATAGTGTATTATTTTATGTATTGTTTGTATCCCCCAATTAGAATATAAACTTAAAAAGGAGGTATTTTTGTACTGAGGATCTTTCCTTCCTAACCCATTTATTAGTTTTCTGTGGAGCCATTCACTGAGCTTTACACACACACAGAGGCTCATCCAGATTCTGCTTTATTCTGAGTAAACCAGCTTAAAAACTTTTATGTTCACATTCATGAGGATTGGCCTTATATAATGTAAATACTGACTATTAATTTAATGAAAAGTATTGCATAAATATGCTGTAAAGAATAAAATATGAGGGAGGCAAAATGTGTGTGTATTTGTATCTGTGTGTGTAAAGAACAATTAAAATGAACCCAAACCCTCAGTTGTCACACATAATAGAAAGTCAATGACTAATGTCTAAATTAAAAAATAAACATAGAAGCAAATTTTTAAAATGGAATTAAATACCTGAACATATTTCTGGAGAATTTTAAAAGTGATGTGTTTGGGGAATAAATTTACACACAAGCAAGATTGAGACAAGAGATGACTACTTTCCATATTAATTAATTTTATTTTCATGAGCATTATTTAAAATTATTTTTAAATGTAAAAACTTTATTTGTGTATATATAAGTAAATATAGGCTATCTTTACATTTATTTCTTGTTTAATTTCAGTTTTAAGATAAAAGATCTGTCAGAATATGTGTATAATCCATGTTTCTATCCAGTGGTTTGAATGACAGAACTACACAGGTACGTGTTTTTTTGTTATTGTTGTTGTTTTTTGTTTGTTTGTTTTGTGGGGAGGTTTTTGCGGTTTTTTTGGCCGGGGCTGGGTTTGAACCCACCACCTCCAGCATATGGCATATGGGGCCAGTGCCCTACTCCTTTGAGCCACAGGTGCCACCCCACATAGGTACATGTTTTTTTATAAAGGAGAGTATGCCTCCCAGTTTTTGTCATTCTTTTAGGGATGATTATATCCAGGCATGTTTTGTCATAGTTATTCACCAGATAATTTTTCACTTAGGAAGTGATTAACTTCCTAAAATGCTCCAAGTGACTGGTTTTTCAAAGAATCCTTTTACCCAATTCAAGCATAGGGCACGGTGATCACCATTTTGCTTTGTGGTAAGTGACATATAAATTCATCAGATATGCTATAAAAAGACTTGACCTGCAACATCTAGTTTCATGCTAATGTTTTTAAACTTGAGATGGGTAAGATGTAATCAATGGATTTATTGACCAAATGGAAATAAATGAAGTATTTACTTTAATCAATGAATATTTATTTTACATTTTCTTTTTTTCTTTTTTTTTTTTTTTTGGAGACAGAGCCTCCAGCTGTCCCCCTGGGTAGAGTGCTGTAGCATCACAGCTCACAGCAACCTCCAATCCTGGGCTCAAGTGAGTCTCCTGCCTCAGCCTCCCAAGTAGCTGAAGACCACAGACACCCGCCACAACACCTGGCTATCTTTTTTGGTTGCAGCCATCATTGTTGTTTGGCGGGCCCGGGCTGGATTCGAACTCACCACCTTAGGTGTATGTGGCTGGTGACTTAGCCACTTGAGCCACAGGCACCAAGCCTATTTTACATTTTCTTTCTTAACATCTTATACTTTACATTGGAAATTAGTCAAATGGAGAAGAATACACACAAAAAAATCCAGTAAATTACTTCTGCAAAACAGCTACTAGGAATGTTTTAGAGAATTTCCTTTCATTTATTGTTTGACCTTTAACTGTAGTACCCTAATAATGTTTATCTCTTTTTTTTACTTAATATTATACCAAATGAAATTGTCTTTATAATAATTTTTTGTAAATGTAAATTAAGTGATTATAAAATATATCATAATATTTCATAATGGGGTTAAAAATTTACTTAAGGTTATGAATTTATTTTTATTTAGCGCATTTATCACTGCATTGAGTATCTGTACATTAATACATTTTGTGGTCTTTCATATGACAAAATTATCAGATGTGAAACTAGCATGTCTAACAATTAAAAATCATAATTAATACATATTTTCAAAAATATGTATATATAATCACTGATATCAATACCTTTCCTTGAAGGCTGGCAATGGTAGCTCACATCTATAATCCTAACACTCTGGGGAAGGCTGAGATGTGTTGATTGCTTGAGCTCAGGAGTTTGGGATCAGCCCCTATCTTTACTAAAAATAGAAAAGTAGTTGTATATAGTGGTAGGTGTCTGCAGTCCCAGCTACTTGGGAAGCTGAGACAAGAGGATATCTTAAGCCCAAGAGTTTGAAGCTGCTGTGAGCTAGGATGACTCTTAAAAATAACAACAACAAAAGAACCTTTCTATGAGCATTCTATGATGGTGGCAGTTGGCAGAACATGAGGCCCACTGTTGAGGAATATTACTTCTATATGCTGGGTATTCAACTGTGTTCCCCAAAAGATATGTAGAAGGCCTAAGCCCCTGTGCCTCAGAATGTGATATTATTTGGAATCAGAATTGTTAATGATATAAGTAGTTAAGATGAGATCATGATGGAGTGGAGTGAGTGCTTAATCCAATATGGCTGGTGGCTGGTGTCCTCATAAGAAGAAAGAGAAGAAATAGACACACAAGGGGAGGAGGACAAGTGACAATGGAGGCATAGACTGATGGGTGCTGCTACAAGTGAAAGAATGCCAGCGACTATATGTAAACCATCAGAAACTTCTGCCATGCAGGTTTTAGGGGTAGCATGGCCTTGCTGACATCTTGATTTTGGATTGCTAGCTTCTAAACCTACCTGACTATAAACTTCTGTTGTTTTAATACACAGCCTTGTGGTAACTGGTTACAGCAGCTCTAGGACAGTAATGTGCCACACAAACTACATTCCTGCATGCCCTCTGTCCCATAGGCACTCCAGGCAGCCTCCCACCCACTCCCATCCTCCTCACCACACCCCCCTAGTTTCAGCTAGTACTCCTCTATACATTCTTCCTTACTCAAATACTTCTCTGTCTGTATTACTAAATCAAATAAATTTCCTATTTCAGTATCTGAACTGACACATGTCTTGGGCAAGGACTCGCCCAAGCAGAAATTCAGAAACTTCTAATGTTCTTTCCTGGTTTACTTGTTTCCAGGACATCAAGTCTCTCCTTATATTTTCTGAAAAATTCTGATATTCTTCTTTTATTGATCTCTTCATATTTAATCACTGCTCATTTGTGTGTATTTTTACTCATTCCCCCAAAGTCTATTCAAACTTTATTTAAACATTTATTGAATCAACATTCAAAAAACCACTCACATTTACATTTTGATTATTTCAGCATTCTTCTGATAAAAAAGAATAAAATTTGCATAAAGTTAGAAAGGGTATGGGAGGTTCTAGCATATTTATTATGAAAGTAACTTTTTTCTATATTAAAGGAAAATGTCTTACAGCCACTAGGCATCAGTACTGAACTTATTCAATGAGTTATAGTTTGGATTAACTTGTTATTTACATTTGAAGCCTTCATTTATTTTCAACTGAGATGTTTAAAAATGAATTTTAATAATAAACTGCCAAATTATTCATTTTGGTTGATTTATAGCAATGTTTAGAGAACTCAGAAAGTTGATTAAAATAACTTGCTCTTGTATTTGTCATCCAGACCTATAAATTTTGTAGTACTTTAATAAGTTCTTTTGCTTAAATAAACTAAGTCTTTGGTTTGCTCTCATTTGGGGGGTGGTATAAGGAGTAAGGGGAAGGCAGAAACCTAGTAAATTCTATCAAGCCCTAAGCCCTCAGTGACACAATCTAAGAAACAATAGTTCTTTTCCAGGGAAATGCCTCATCAGAACTAGCCCCTTGGTCTCTTTTCTTACAATATTACCATTCCTGTACTCCTTGCATACACTCGATGAAGTCCTCACTGCTCACTGCTGTTATTCATAGTTTTTTCAAAGGTGGCAGACACTCTGATCAATCTTTGATTGGGCTCCCCGAGCTTTTTTAAACTATACCTCAAACCTGGGCTTTGTGTTCAGTTTTATAGAATCCAGTCTCAGCAGGAAAACTGGTAAGTCTGTTTTGTAAGAATTCCCACCTTCTACATCTGATCTAATTCCTCATCCTTCATGTATGTGATCACCTAGGCCTTCCTTCAGCAAGAACCTTATCAAATTGGTTTAGCCAAAATCCTCCCTTATCCGAGAGGTTTCCTCTTAAGAATTGTCCATCCACTGATTCTCATCCTGCTCTTTGGCTGTAAATCTCCCCTTATCCATGCTATTTTTGGAATTGAGCCTGCTTGTATCCTGAGGGCTCCTTTTGTTAGTGAAAAAGTTTTTTTTTTTTTTTAATACAATTTATCTTCATCACTTTAACTTCTGTCCAGTTTTGGTTTTCTTTAACAAAGGTAAGGCATTCATTTAGAAGAGGTGTTATAAATTCACTTCAGAGACATTTTTTCCCCTGTAAACAACTTGACTGACTTAGATTTTGTTAATTGACAATTTTCCATATATCGTATGTTTCTAAACAGCCTGGATTCTCTTAATTTACTACCAATTCAAGAATGTTTATAGAGAGAGACATTGCAGGATAGTAATGATCAGACATCTTACACCCTGGGGAAGTCTAGGAAATAAAAATATCAAGCTCTTCTCCCCCATGTGGAACCCAGACTCCTGGTAAGTCTCTTTGTCTAGAGGGGAATATGTGGATGTTAGGCTTCTTGATTTTGGGGTCACTCTCCTATAATGCACTCCCCTACCTGTGCAAGTACCATCTGTCCATAAAACTGGGGCTTGGCATACTGATGCAAGCTATTGCTTTGGCTGATAAATTCACAACAAGTAATAAATTGTCCTTATCTCTGACCCAGAAGCAGACATTGTTTTATATACATATATCTACATATGTATACTATATTTATATATGCACATGTATAGCACATGTTTATATATACTATATACTTAATACACACAGTAGAGACTAAATTGTTAACTCATAAGTAGGATAGTCAATACAAACCTTTAGGTTCAACAAATACAGCATGTAATTTCATATGACCTATATTATAAATAACCAGTGGTTGTTATTAATCATGCTGTAGTTGACCCAAAAGTTTGTACTCACTATTGTGTGATATAAAGCTGTGAGAAACTTGTGGCTTGGTGCTCGTAGCACAGTGGTTTTTGGTGCTGGCCACATACACCAAGGCTGGCAGGTTCAAACTCAGCCTGGGCCAGCTAAGCAACAATGACAACTGCAACAGAAAAAATAGCCAGGCACTGTGGCAGGTGCCTATAGTCCCAGCTACTTGGGAGGCTGAGGCAAGAGAATCACTTAAGCCCAAGAGTTTGAGGTAGCTGTGAGCTGTGATGCTATAGTGCTCGACCGAGGGCTACCTAGTGAGCCTCTCTCAGTTTTTAAATGAGGCTGCATGTTAACAGCATAATAGAATTGGAGTTATGACATACAAATGGCAAAACATAACTATAGTCCAGAGAGTGGAAGGAAGGGGAGGTGGGGATATGGGAAGAGGGAGGGTATTTGGAGGGACCTCACATAGTGCATGATGTAATGGTACATTTCAAAACTATTTAGAAATGAGTATAATTGTGATGGATGTGCTACTTAGTTCAATGTAAACATTTCACATTGTGTATCGAAGCAGTACCCTGAACCCAATAAATGCATCAATGTACAAAGTTATGATTTAATAAAAATAATTTTTAAAAATGATGCTGGGTGAACTGAATGGCAATCTGTAGAAGAATGAAACTGGACCCCCATCTCTCACCATTAACAAAGATTGATACTCACTGGATAAACAATCTAAACTTATGACATGAAACTATAAAAATATTAGAAGATAGTGCAGGGAAAATGCTGGAAAAAATTGGTGGCAGAATTTTTTATGAGTCAGACTATCCCTGGGCAATTGAAGCAATACCAAAATTATATTACTGGGATCTGATCAAACTAAAAAGCTTCTGCACAGCAAAGAGCACAGTAAATAAAGCAAACAACAACATTCAGAATGGGAAAAGATATTTGCAGGTTATGCTTCTGACAAAGATCTAACAACTAGAATTCACAGAGAACTCAAACTAATCAGTAAGGGGGGAAAAAAAAAAAACCATAACCCCATTTCTATGTGGGCAAGAGAATTGAAGAGAAGCTTCTCCGAGGAAGACAGGCGAAGGACTTACAAACATGAAAAAATGCTCATCGTCTTTAATCATCAGAAAAATGCAAATCAAAACCACTTTGAGATATCATCTAACTCCAGTAAGATTAACCCCCATAACAAAATCCCAAAATGACAGATGTTGGCATAGATACCGAGAGAAGAGATCACTTCTACACTGCTGGTGAGAATGCAAGCTAATACGGCCTTTTTGGAAAGAAGTTTGGAGAATACTCAAGGAACTAAAAGTGGACCTACTGTTTGATCCTGCAATCCCCCTACTAGGTATTTTCCCAGATAATCTAAAATCACTTTACAACAAAGATATTTGCACCAGAATGTTTATTGCAGCCCAATTCATAATTGCCAGTCATGGAAGCAGCCCAAGTGCCCATCAACCCATGAATGCATTAACAAATTGTGGTATATGTACACCTTGGAATACTGGGTAGACATAAAAAAGATGGAGACTTCACATCTTTTATGTTTACCTGGATGGAGCTGGAACATATTCTTCTTAGTAAAGTTTCTCAAGAATGGACAAAAAGGCTCGGCGCCTATAGCTCAACCGGCTAAGGCGCCAGCCACGTACACCTAAGGTGGCGGGTTCGGATCCCCAGCCCGGACCCGCCAAACAACAATGACGGCTGCAACCAAAAAATAGCCGGGCGTTGTGGCGGGCGCCT